TTTTTGGGGGGGGAGGTTGGGGTTGTTGTTCTTTTGTTGTTGTTGTTGTCTGGGGGTTTTTGTGTGTGGTGGGTTTTTTTTAGGGGGGGGTATACTTTTTCCCTTTATATGCTTCCTTTTGTTGAAGTTTAAACCCTTATTGGACGTAATACCAAAGACAGGGCGACCCTAATAGAAATGAGGATGACAGCCCCTCGGGACGGAATAATATACTGTCTGTTGTTCAGTTGTTAGTTTGTATATTTGTGATTGTGAAACTGTGAGTGTGAGGTTTTATAACGACCATTGTCAGTCCCAACAATGCCTCTGGTGTTGATATCACCACGGCTAATGACAACGACGAAGCTCACACTAAGGCGCATGTGAAGAAAGAGTATCTATCAATTCCGACATGTATAAAGTTTTGACTCCACAACTAGCACTTTAGCAACCACTTTCCACTCAGGTGACGTTGTCGATGCCTTCTTTGGCACGGCTACAAGAGCTCGCATCGATGTGAGAGTGTGACATTAAAGTTAGGACTGGTCCCACATTGTGTATACTCAGAATACATCCTGCTCCTGGCCCGGTCAAGTCGGCAGTTTCCGATCTGTGGAGGAGACAAAGGGATTCGAAGTATGATTTTGATAGCCGTTTGATGAATGACATCTCTTTTTATTCTTAACACTCAGCCCAAGGGCAGAGCCACTCCTTAATAATCTTGCTGTCCCAGGCTGTGGCCATTGTACTGGTTCAGGGGATAACAACAAAGTCACTTTTTAGTTATGATTTGATAACAGTTTTAAGGCACTTTTAACACAAATAGGTTATACAAGTTCCGAAGATTAGAAGTGTCACCAGAGAGTGACATGCAGTACAATTGAAAGAAGGAGTCGATAAAAAGAATCAAAGACGTTTGACAGGAAAGAAGGAACAAACCACACCAGAGTACCCATCATCAAGAACTACACTAATGCTGATCATGTTTGTGGTAGTAAAACACGCATGTAATAAATGGTTAATAGCAAAATGTCCTACACTAAAGAAATAAGAAGTTGCCATAAGCCTAAACAATCCTTTTAGGTGGTTAGGGGCAGATAAAACGCAGTCTGCGAGTTGGTGATGGATAGTGTCTACTCCACCTTTTTGGGAAATATTCTCCCTATCCAAGAGCGAGGGGGGTCGAGAGAGAGAGAGAGAGAGATAGAGAGAGAGAGAGAGAGAGAGAGAGAGAGAGAGA